ACGTTTTGTTCCTCACAGAAAGCACACAGTCACTTGAAATTCCTTTGCAGTGCACAGGGATTCCAGCACATCCATAGTAAACAACTCAGAGGAACTCTTAAAAAGTATTCAAGTATTACTCACACTGTGAGGAAACCAAACGTGTCTCAAAGGAACCTCTTTCCTTCTATGTTTCACTGAAAAGTATAGTATTATGCCATGAATATCATCCTCATCATCACTTCCCTACAGGGTTCCAACAGGAAAAAGGGATGAAATATAAGGTTTAGCTCAATAAAAGCACAATGAACTGTGTCATCTGCTTCCAGACTGAGAAAGAGATTCTAGAAAGAGAGCTAAAGAACAAAATGCTTATAATTAGTGAAGTTCTGTATTAAAAATGTACCTGGAAATGAATTAGATTTGTGTGTTCATGCTCCTGTTCGGTGCCCCCTTCAGACACTGGAAGCTGCTCTGAGGTCTCCACGCAGCTTCTCTTCTCCAGGCTCAACAGCCCCAATGTTCTCAGCCTGCCTCCATACAGGAGCTGCTCCAGCCCCTGCTCATCCTCATGGCCTCCTCTGGACTTGCTCCAACAGCTCCATGTCCTTCTTATGTTGGGGACACCATTTTCGTCCCATATTTAGGGATACCAATGATTTAAACCCCAAAATCGGAACGTTATGACTTAGTGGAGGGGAAGGAACAAAAAGGTAACATCATTTGATGCCTCTGCAGAGCAGCATCCATGTGACTGGCAGGTAGCCGAGGCATGTGGAAATAACTCTTGAAAATTTATTCCTAGTTCTAAAAAGTGACAGATTAAGAGGCAATATTTTTTAATTCAAAGAGTTAAAAGACTGTCAAAAGGCAAAATATGGAGAGGTGGACTTTATTTATTGTCACCAAAGCAAAAATCTTCATCTGTTTATTGAAGAGACACATGAGAGCACACAAGAATCCAGCAATGTCAGATGGGACTGATCAACTTGACTTTGAAATCAGCAATAAAATGCCGTTTACACCGCTTGGGAAATACTTTAGAAAACAACAAGAACGCTTTTCTCATTCACTCATTTTGCATCCACTATTTCTATAGACTGAAAATAGAATCCCAGACTGGTTTGGGTTGGAAGGGACCTTAAAGCTCCTCCAGTTCCAACCCCTGCCACGGGCAGGGACCCCTTCCACTAGAGCAGCTTGCTCCAAGCCCCTGTGTCCAACCTGGCCTTGGACACTGCCAGGGATGGGGCAGCCACAGCTTCTCTGGGCACCCTGTGCCAGCGCCTCAGCACCCTCACAGGGAACAACTTCTTCCTTATCTCCAACCTGAACTTCCCTTGTTTCAGTTTGAACCCATCCTCCCTTGCCCTGTCACTGATGAAAAGGTCCCTCTCCAGCATCCTTGAAGCCCACCCCTCATATACTGAAGCCAACCATGGTGACTTGGAGATTTTAAGCAACAAAATTGAGTCTAGTTAATTAGAAAGATCACAGTACATTAACAAACAAGACCATGCTTGGTTATGAACCTCCACTGCTCACCCAACTTCTTCTCAGACCTCACACAATCCCACCAGCAAATAAATCAGAGCTGGTGCTGTACAAAAATGACCTCACTTGCACTTTGAGAGTGAGGCAAGTGTCCCTCCTCCCTGAGCACACTGGCTAAGAACACAGTTCTCATGGGGATGCTTCAAATACTTCTGATTCAGCCCAGCACTGGGAGGAGGAGGTTGGCAGCACTTTGCATGTCTATCACCTCTTGACAAGGGTCACTCAGCATCTCCACAGCGTGGGGAGACGGTGTTCAACCCTCCACAGACACCTGAGGAGAAGCCAAGCAAGCAGAGCACCGTCCAGCCAGCACAAAGGGAGCTCACTCAGGGCTGAAACGCACAGTTAGAACGTGGTGGTTTAAGGAGAGTTTATGAATTGCAGAGGAAACAGAAAGTACATGGAGCACTTGTGCTGCGGAAGGGGAAACTGGGGCCTCTGCAGATACAATTGAGCCCAAAAGGCATCAGTGGAAGACAAATGGAGATCATAACCCGGACTGAAGGGAAGAGTGAGCTCAGAAAGGAAGATATAAAAGTTGTGTTTCCCTTCTGACAGCCTCATCAACTGCTATCAACCACCTGAGAGCTGCAAATCAGCTGAGAGCTCTGGGTGGAAACAGGAGGTTTCCAACTACCGGGGGAGAAAGGACTGAACTGTTCCTGTGCCACAGGCAGCAGTTGAAACCCACCTGGATTTAAACCAGGACTGAATCCTGTTTATGCCACAGTTGCTGGCATTTATGGTGGGCAGGCCTCGGTGATCCAGGAACTCCATCCCAGCTGTGAATGTCCCACTTCCCAGAAAAGGAGATCTGCGCCGGTCTGACCGCGGTTGCCTTTGCAAGCTTCCCAAAAGCAGATGCTCTCCTGGATCAAACACCCACTTCCCTCACTGAAGTGGCTGCATTTGCACCTACCCTCCGAAAGTGAGGTTCAGAAGCTCTTCTGGACAGATCACCTAATGAAATTTAGACCAAATTTCATTATAATTATGCAGAAATGCTTCTCCAAAGCATTTTCACATGTCTGGGAAATGCTTCCAGGAACAGCAAGAGCAGCGTCACCTTTCTTTCCTGTTCCTCCCCATTATCCATGTGGTGGGTTCCATAGGGGACCCCATATCCATAGGAGAGCACGAAAACTTCACTGCCAAGCTTTTAAACATCCTTAAGAGCTCACCTACTGCAATGCAGACCTAGCATTGAACTTGACAGATGAGTATCACCCAAGATCACAGAAGATCTCTCCAAGATGATCTCCTTAAAGGACCGTATCCCATAATTATTTCACATTCATTTGGACACCGTGGGGGTGCTTCATTTTGGTTCCTCACTCCCATTACAATAAATTCAAACCACCTTCATAGCATGGAATCAGGTTGCTTCTGATCCCTTTGTTCCAAAGGGAAAGGGTTATATATGTACCTCTCCAAAAGTGTCCTTCCTAACAGCCAGGGATTTTAATCAACTAAAGAGTACGAAAACACCCCCATAAATCTGACCAGTAACATCTGAAACACTCAGCACACATTCACTAAAGCCAAAGGCCACTGTAAGCACATCATGTGGGAGAGATTCCTTCTGATAAATGGGAACATTTACTTTAGTAAGACTAAAATAATATAGAAGTTGAGATGCATAAGTAGCTAAGTTCATATTTGCAACTTCCAGCGCAAAAGTTAATCAGATTTAATAGAGATTTCAACAAAAAAAACATAGATTTCAACCAAAAAAAATACACTGCTAAGTGATACCAGTCCTTCTAATGACTACACGCATGTAGAAAGAAGAAATAATCAGACCATAGGTGTTGTTTGGGGTGGGTTTTTTAATGCACCCAACCAAAAAGGTCAGAAGAAGCCATGAAACAGTTAAAAACCCAAACTGGCAAGCAAAAAGGATTAAAAAAGCCATCATAAAATAAAGCATTTGGCTGCCAAGTGCTAATTCCCCTTTCCCTGACATTGCTCCATATCACTCCTCAGTTGGAGTTCTCCTCCAGAACCACTTCACAGTCCACATTCCATGAAATAACGCAGTCGATGCAACCAAGTCCAGCGAAACGTTTCCCTAAAGATGTTTCCATCATTCCCATTCCTTAGGGAAAATAAAGCTCTCGCTTCCTCCCATCCCAATTTTAACAGCAAGAACAAATACAGCCCTGCATCTTCAATCATATCTGGATTAAAAGAGGGACAGAAGCACTGGAGGTTTCTCTGTGCTTAGCACAACATGCCTTTGTCCAGAAAGGGGGAAAAAAAGCCTCCTTCAACCTGCTCGTTTCTCTGCATTTGACAGAATTCAGCACCAAACAAACGCCTTTTGAATGAAATTCCAGCTATGGAAAGCCAAGCCATAACCTGAGAGCTTATCACGACGTGCAGGGAGGGGGGGAAATCCGCCCCCCCCCCCCCCCAAGCCCAACACAGCACAAACCCTGTTCTTGAGAATGAGTATTTGTTCCATTTCCATCACTTGAGGGCTCCTCAGCTTTCCATAAAGGCATCTTTTGGGGGTATTATTAACCCGCTGTACAGCAACGGACTTCGCTGCCCTGAAAACCCCCACGCCAAAGTATTCAAAGCAATTCTTGGGGAAGGAAAAGGGAAGAAAACAAGCAGCCCTTGATGCAAAGGCACAGCACCCACTGTTTCACAGCGGCAGGGAGGACAACGCCGCCTCCCGTCTCAGCACCTTGCGCTCTCTGCTTTCAGGCTGCCGCTGTTGCACCCCGACGTCCCCCCCTCTTCTCGCTCAGCAAACCTGGGCCATTTTAAACCCGCTCCAAAGGGAGCGGGAGGACGGACGCGGCCGCAACTCGGCCTTTCCCATCCCATGAAGTTGCTGTCGGGCTCCTCAATATCCCCTTCTGTCGCTCTCATCACCATCACCATCATCATCATCATCCCCACGTGCCCCTCTCGCTGCTCGCAGTGGGGCTGGGGTGAAGCGGTGCCAGCCCCCCCACCCATCTTGGGGTGCCCCCCATCCCCACACCGGCGTCTCCCGAAGGCTCAGAGCAGGAGGGGAAAGCGCGGTCGCTCCATTTCCCTTCTTCCACACCACCAGAACTTGCCTTGGCCACCATCGGGGGGGGGGGGGGGTCTTCAGCGGGCTCCCCCCCCCCACCGGCGCCAAGCGCCTCGCAAAGAGAGGGCTGAGGGGAACCGAGCCCCAGTGCCCATCACAGCGAGGCCAAATCCCGGCACTAATGCTGAGGGGGGGGAAACAGGCTCTTGGGGGGGGGCACAAGCAGCGGGGCCGGCTCTCCCCCCTCAGGGCGGCGGTCTCCCCCACAGCGCTGACAGGATGCTCCCCCTCCACCGCCGCCATCGCAGCCCAGGCCCCGTGCCCCCGGCGAGGGGAGCGGGTCCGTGTGTCCCCCCCCCGGCTGTCACCCGCAGCCCCCCCTCAGCGCCCTCCGGGGGTGCCGTTGTCCCGCCGCCGTGTCCCCCCCCCTCACCTGCGGCTGTTCTGGCGGCGGTGTCCCCTCAGCCGGTGCGGCGGCGGCGGCAGCGCTCCCGCTCGCCCTCCGCCCGCTCCGCGGCTCCTGCCTCTGCCTCTGCCCGCAGCCGCTGAGGGAAGGGGCGGGGGGGGGGGGGGGGTGTACCACCAGCGGGACCGTTACAGCCGCCGCCAGAACTACAGCTCCCGGCATGCCCCGCGCGCAGCCGCCGCCGGTCGGCGCTGGCCGCCCTCCGCTGGGCACGCTGGGTAATGTAGTTCTAGCGGCGGGCGGGGAGGGAGACGGGGGCCCGTGTGGCCGCGGGGTACGATGGGAGGTGTAGTGCGGAGGGGCAGAGTGGAGCATGCTGGGAGCTGTAGTCCGCGTGGGGGCATGCTGGGAGTTGTAGTCCGCGCTGGCTGAGGGGAGCGCGGAGGCCGCGGCCTCGATCCCCACCGGGACGAACCGAGCGCGGATCCGGTGGTCCCCGCGGCCTGGCCCCGGCTTCCGGACATTGCCCTGGGGCCGCCCGGTGAGCTCCGGCAGCAGCCGTGCCCGCGGCGGGATGCGCGGCCTCGAGGCCAGGCCTTCCCCCCCCCCCCCCCCCCCCCTCGCAGCCCGGCCTCCTCTTCACAGCGCGGCCAGGCCCCGTTCCTCCCCCCGCACCCCAAACCGGCCCTCGCCCCCAAAACAACCCCCATTTCCCTGCCAAAAGCCCTCGTCCAACGTTGGGGGGGGGAACAACCCCCTCAGTCCTTGGGGAAGGGGGTGCTGGCCCCATAGGCGGGGGGGGCGGGAAAAGGCCCTTCTCTGGGAGCACAAACGAGGGGTTTACGTTTTAATGCAGGAACTTCTCTCACCAGAGTGATGAACCCAAATGGAGCTTCCCGGGGGGGTGAGCAGCACCTGTGGGTGCACACAGCTGCAAGGGGGGTGCAAACCGCGTCAGCAGCGCTCAGTACCCCAGTTTGGGGTGAGAAATGAGTGTTTCTGGGAAGTGCTGGGGTCTGGGAGGAAGAATTGCAATGGGGTTCACCCAGGGACTGACCCCATCGGGCACAGCACCACAGAGCCCATGGCACTCGCTGCAAGAGAGACATTGAGGGGCTGGAGGGGGGGCAGAGAAGGGAATGGAGCTGGTGCAGGGCCTGGAGCCCAAGTGTGATGGGGAAGGGCTGAGGGACCTGGGGGGTTCAGTGTGGAGAAGAGAAGGCTCAGGGGGGACCTGATGGCTGCCTGCAAGTGCCTGAGAGGAGGATGGAGCCAGGAGGGGCTGGGCTCTGCTCCCAAGGAACAAGGGATGGGACAAGAGGAACCGGCCTCAAGCTGCGCCAGGGCAGGTTTAGATGGAGCTGAGGAACAATTCCTGCCCCAGAGGGTGCTCAGGCATTGGAACAGGCTGCCCAGGGCAGGGCTGCAGGCACCGGCCCTGCAAGTGTTCACACCCTGTGGAGACGAGGCCTCAGTGCCATGGGGCAGTGGTGGCCTTGGCAGTGCTGGGGTGAAGGTTGGACTGGATGAGCTTAAAGGGCTTTTCCAACCTCACTGATTCTATTCCATGTCCCCTCCTCACTCCCTCACAACACTCGGTGCTCTTTGAAGCCGTTTGCTTTTCATCAAGATTCACTCTTGTTTCCTAAGCAATGGGAACCCCCACCAGGGAATCAGGGAGTTGGAACAGGAGGGTCCCTGGGGTAACAAGGGCTGTACCAGAGCGACTCACTTCATTTCTCACTGCTTGACATACTGATAGGAAGAGGTTGTTGTGAAAACCATGTCAAATACACCACATCCCTGCCCATGGCAGGCGATTGGAACTGGATGATCTTCAGGTCCTTTCAACACAAACCATTCTGTGATGCCCAGTGTTGTACAGTAAGGGAAACCTCCAGCACGATTTGAGGTCTCTTTAACAGCCCACATTGGTGGTGCATCACCCCTGCAATCCAAGTACCAAGCTGTCCCACCCGCAAACGTATATTAGTAAGAGAAAGAGCAACTGATGGCGTGTCCTCACCTGCAGCTCACCCCAGATTTAAGCATCTGAACCCCCAGGGCTTCACCCATCTGCCTCCACAGCAAATGGACACAGGGGAGACCCTGCAGGGGATGTTGGTTTCCTGCATCACGTGAGACGTGGGAAGACTTTCCAAAACCCTTGGTTTCCTACACAAAACCCAAAGCTTTGGCTCCAACCAAAGTTCTCCACCACACGCTGAGCCACTGCTCAATGACAGCTCCGTCCTGTTCCAGCTGCCCGGGTGAGACAAGGACAGAGCCCAGCTGGAAGAAAACCAAGGTGGAAGTTTCACATCCATCTCTTGCTGAGCAGCACCCAGTTGCTGTGGGAGCTGCCCAGAGAAGCTGTGGCTGCCCCATCCCTGGCAGTGTTCAAGGCCAGGTTGGACACAGGGGCTTGGAGCAAGCTGCTCCAGTGGAAGGGGTCCCTGCCTGTGGCAGGGGTTGGGACTGCAGTAGCTTTAAGGTCCCTTCAACCCAAACCAGGCTGGGATTCCATAGTTCTAAGAAAACACTGGGAAATCCATGATGTGGCTCCCCCAGGTGAGGAGCTGAGCCTGTTCCCATCGCATCCTCTGCCTTCTCCCACTTGCACAGCTTTACCAGCTGGAAATAACCTCCTAAGTTTGCAGCTCACCATTTCCCCCCAGTGAGCCCCAAATTTATCCCATCTAACTCCCCCCAAAGAAAACAGTTTACGCAAAATAAATAAACCAAGCCCCAGATCCCACCCTTAGCACCATTGTCTCCTCCAGAGGAAAGCAGAGTGATGCTGCAGTGCTTTCCTGCTTTGGTTTGCAATGCCCAGCACCTCCATTCCACCCTGTCCCTCACAAGCACTTGGCTGCCTCAATCTTTGTTCCCTGGTGGGTTTATTTCTGCTCTTTTATTGCTGTTGCTGCTGTTTCCCTCCTCTCCTCCTTGTCCTAAGCTCAATGTCTTCCCTGCAAGCGACCAAGGGCTGCAGCCAAGCAGAACCCATTAGTGCAGAGCTGTAGGTTTTCCACCCCATGAAAATGTGCTGCTGTTTGAAACAGAGCATCTCTTTCTTTCCCTCTGCAGTGTGTCCTTTTGCTGCCAAGGAGACAAATTATGCAGGTCCTGTGGCAGAGCTCACGACAACGTGGCAGAAAAGCTTCAAGAACAATTTGTACCAAACTGTAGCATGCATCTACCTGCAGAGGGGAGGCCCAATACCAGTGAGTAACCCGAATTTCAGCCCAAATCCCTTCCTAAGGGGACTTTAATATTACTTCATTGCAGAGCAGACTCTCTGCCCTGGCCCCTGACTGCCAAATGTGTGTCTCTGAACTGTTTAGGATGTTTTGTAGCTTGATAAGCAGTGTGGAGGGATGCACAGAGCTGTGTGAGTGTGCCCTGACTGATGGGTACTTGCAGCTTAACTCCTGTGTAATCAATCTGTGTGCAGCTGGGGGAATTTAATTTACAGACTGTAGAATCCCAGCCTGATCTGGGTTGAAGGGAGCTTAAAGCTCCTTCAGTTCCAACCCCTGCCACGGGCAGGGACCCCTTCCACTGGAGCAGCTTGCTCCAAGCCCCTGGGTCCAACCTGGCCTTGAGCACTGCCAGGGATGGGGCAGCCACAGCTTCTCTGGGCACCCTGTGCCAGTGCCTCAGCACCCTCCCAGGGAAGAGCTTCTGCCTCAGAGCTCAGCTCAGTCTCCCCTCGGGCAGGTTCAAGCCATTCCCCTTGGCCTGGCCCTACAGGCCCTTGTCCCAAGCCCCTCTCTGGGTTTCCTGCAGCCCCTTTAGGCACTGGAGCTGCTCTCAGGTCTCCCCTTCAGGAGCCTTCTCTTCTCCAGGCTCACCCAGCCCAGCTCTCTCAGCCTGGCTCCAGAGCAGAGCTGCTCCAGCCCTCACAGCAGCTCCATGGCCTCCTCTGGCCTCACTCCAACAGCTCCACGTCCCTCTTGTGCTGCTGCCCCAGAGCTGGATCAGGGCTGCAGGGGGTTCTCCCCTTCACGCAGCAGAGGGGCAGGATCCCCTCCCTGAACTGCTGCTCATGCTCTGGGGGTGCAGCCCAGCACACGGTGGGGGGGGTTCTGGGGTGCATCAAATTCCTTCTGCTGTTGGCCACTGCAAAGCGGGCACTGGAGGAAGGGGAGGGAAGAGGCTCTACATTAAGAGCCTGCTGCAGTAGATGAGGTTTTGCTGTATTAAGTGCTGCCATATGCTTAATAAACATCTTCATTATCAGCTCTGCCTCGACTATAAATAACCTGATGTGTATTTTAAGCAGTGGAACACCAGCCAGCACCAGCTCCTGAAGTTGTCTCAGACCTGACTGGTTCCGGTGCTCATGTGCATCTATGGGAAATGTGCCATTTCCTTCCCTGGGCAGCAAATACAGCTTTGAGGAGGCTTTGGGCTCCCACCTCAGGTTTGTCTCAATGGGAACATGTCCCTGTCCAAGCACAATGCCACACAGTTCCCTGTGCATGCCCCACATCTGTGTATGGAGAGCTATAAAATAGATAGCTGTGCCTTGCTGGTCCTTATTTTCATAGAATCATAAAATCATGGAATGGTCTGGGATGAAGGGAGCTTAAAGCTCATCCAGCTCCAACCCCTGCCATGGGCAGGGACACCTTCCACTAGAGCAGCTTGCTCCAAGCCCCTGTGTCCAACCTGGCCTTGAACATTGCCAGGGATGGGGCAGCCACAGCTTCTCTGGGCACCCTGTGCCAGCGCCTCAGCACCCTCCCAGGGAAGAACTTCTGCCTTATCTCCAACCTGAACTTCCCCTGTTTCAGTTTGAACCCATCACCCCTTGTCCTATCACTGCAGTCCCTAATGAAGAGTCCCTCTCCAGCATCCTTGCAGCCCCCTTCACACACACTGGAAGCTGCTCTGAGGTCTCCACACAGTTTCTCTTCTCCAGGCTCAACAGCCCCAATGTTCTCAGCCTGGCTCCATACAGGAGCTGCTCCAGCCCCTGCTCATCCTCGTGGCCTCCTCTGGACTTGCTCCAACAGCTCCATGTCCTTTTTATGTTGAGGACACCAGAACTGCACACAGTGCTGCAAGTGGGGTCTCAATAGAGGGACAGTATCACCTCCTTTGATCTGATGCTCACACTTCTTCATTTTGTGGAAGAAGAGCAGTGGATACGAGGGGTTGGGTGGTTCTTGGCTCTTGATGCCTCTGGATAATTCACTCTTGTGTTTTCTTCCCAGGCTGTGACTTCCAAATCTGCCTGAGGGCTGGCAGCAGACTCAGGGATGTATCCCAGGCTCTCCTCCACTCCTAACTTCCCTTTGGTTTCTCTCCAAGCAGGTTTACCCATCTCTGTCAGGCTGAAAGGTTCCTGTCATGTGCAGCCACAGCTCCAGCCACTTTTCCAGCCCTGTGTCCTTTGAGCACGTGTGACATGAGCCCATCCATGTCTAGAGCTAGGGACAGTTTTGCTTTTAACTCCAGCAGGAGCCAGGTCAGAGCTTGATTATATCCCAAAAGAAAACTCACTCCACTCAGAAGCTCAAGACAGGTGAGCATTTACCTGGTTAAAATTGGGGTTGTTCCTTATTTATACTCCTGCCAGTGATATTCTCCTGATGCTCGATCCAGCAAGAGCCCATTGGGAAATTAAACAGCTCCTCAGAACCACTCCCAGCACCAGAGGGTCATAGAGTCAGCGACTGGTTTGCATTGGAAGGGACCTTAAAGCTCCTCCAGCTCCAACCCCTGCCATGGGCAGGGACACCTTCCACTAGAGCAGCTTGCTCCAAGCCCCTATGACCAATCTGATTCTGTATCCCCCAAGCATCTCATATCCCTGGTCCCCTCTGCTGTCCCTTCCTAGAGCAGGAAACCCCATGACACCCCCTCACCTCCCTGGGCATGGCTCTGGGGCTCCTGTTTGGGCTGAAGCCTCCCAAAGCTTCTACCTCCACCGTGTGGCTTAATTGCAGCCCCCATAGTCCCGCTTCATCCCTCGGCTTCTCCCAACCGCGCTCCATCTCCAGAGGAAAAGGGGGGCTCAGGGGACAAAGTGGGGCTTGAAGGCGCTGCATCCTCAGCGGGTCACGTCTGGATCAACCACGGCCATCCCCAGCCCGGCCGCGCGTACCCCGGGCATCTGCTTTTGGGGTGTGAAGGGCTGGAAAGCGCCATTTCCCTCTGGCCGGCACCTGAGGATGCTTCCACCGCCCCTGCCCGCCCCTGCCGGTACCGGACTACAGCTCCCGGCGCTCCGTGCGGGCGGGCAGCGCCGGGCAGCGGGAGCGGAGCGCAGCGCTGCCCGCAACGGGACCCGCCGCGCCGGCTCCTCCCGGTGAGGATCAGGGGCTTGGGGGGGGGGGGGGTCCCGGGTGAGAATAAGGGGGTGAGAGCACCGGGAACGGCGGGGAAGGGGATGGGGGGCACGGGGACGGAGGTACCGGGATGGGGGTACTTGGGGAGTGAGGGTACGGGGGGGTGCCAGCACTGAGGGAGGTGAGTACCAGAGGGATGCAGAAAGGGGGTGCCCCAAAACGTGCGTATAAGGCAGGGGGGTACCAGGGGATGTGGGACAAGAGGATGTGGGTACCGGGGGATGTGGGACAAGAGGATGTGGGACGAGGGGATGTGGGATGAGGGCACTAAATGTGGGTACCGTACCTGCAAATACAGGGGGATGCAGGTGCAAGGGGAATGTGGGTGCTGAGGGATGGGAATCCCAAGGGATGGGGTACCTGGGGGGTGTGAGGAGAGGAGGGTGATGGTGCCAGGGGTGGGGGTACCCAGGGGCCGTAATTTTGGGAGGACAGGGGTACCAGAGGCATATGAGACACAGGTACCAGGGCTGAGGACTCCAGGGGAACGTGTGTATCCAAGGAGCTGGGTGCTGGGTAACACCGGTACAGAGGCACTTGGGGGGGGGGGGGGGGGGATGTCTGAGCCTTGTTGTGCCCCTAGACCAGGAGGGGACCCAGCCAGGCAGTGCTGGATCCATCGTGGGATGCCAAGGTGCCAGCACCAGGGCGCTGGGGTCCCTGGTTGATGGGTGCCATGGCCGGGGAACAGCACCCTGGGGTGCTGGCTCTGCCTGGGGACCCGGGGAGTGGTGACTTCATTCTTGCAGCAGCGGGGCTGTGGTTTGCCATGGAAAGTTACTGGGACCATGGGGAGTTGTTGCCTGTTTCATACATGGCCCGGATTTCCCCCCTTACCTCCACGGGATGATAATCCCTAAATCCCAATGAGATTAATGACAGAGAGAAAGGTGCTGGAGTTCCTCCTCCCCCCTGCACATCTCCCACAGGATGAAATCCCACGTCTGTCTCTAACCCCGATTAACCCATGCACTCGGCTCATCCCCCCCCCCCCCCCCCCCCCCAAATCCCAGGAGCACCGAGGGTGGATCCCCATCCCGCTTCACTCCATGGAGCTGTGGGGAGGGGGAAAGCCGGGAAAGGAGCTGGAGCTGAGCTGGGAGCTGCTGCTCTAACTCCATTACTTCTCCTGTAGCAGCAGGTCCGGAAATCCCTCCCGCAGCCATGGCGCTGGTGAAGAGCGGTTGGCTTTGGCGGCAGAGTGAGTACAACCCTTGAGCATCCCATGTTGGGAGCCCCCCCAGGTAACACCTGGAGAGGTTTGGGCTATGGAATGCCGGGAGGAAGCATGGAAGGGGGGGACAACACCCCCCATCCTGGGTGCTTAATCCACAGCAGCGAGGGAATCACGGCTCAGCCGCTCGTGGGTTTATGTAAGCGCAGAGCGGGGCCGTCTGCCATGAAAACAGACGCTCGGCTCCATGGCCGGGGCTGGATCTGCTCCCGCACACAGTGGGGCAGCACCAGGACATCCTGATGGCTCTTCCTGGCAGCCCTGCCTCAGTTAAAGCCACCTGCTCACGCTGCCCCAGCTCCTCGTGCCAGGGACGGGTGTCCTGCGGGATGCAGCCGCTCTTGGATGGGGTGCTGGGATCCGGCCGCAAAGGAAGGGGATGGTGTTGGGTGTCGGGCCTCACCGGGGTCTTTTCCCTCTATCTCCATCCCTCCAGGCTCCATCCTGCGCCGCTGGAAGAGAAACTGGTTTGTGCTGTACCTGGACGGCAGCTTGGTGTACTACCATGACGAGACGCAGCGCGACATGGACGGACGGATCCACATCAAGTACAGCTGCCGGGACGTGAGGACCGGCCACGAGTGCAGAGGTGAGCAGAGACCCATGTCCCCAGTTCTGTGTTCCCCAAACCCACCCCATGGAGGGGTCTCCATGGAGCTGGAACCTTATAAACGATGCTCTGCTTGTACTTGCACACGTCCAAACAATCCAGGCTGCCCAATTCACCCCTTTCTAACTCCCAGCCAGCACCAGAAAGATGCACATTGCATCTTCTGTTGCTTTTCCATGGGGAATCATGGAATGGGTTGGGTTGGAAGGGATCTCAAAGCTCCTCCAGCTCCAACCCTTGCCACAGGCAGGGACCCCTTCCACCGGAGCAGCTTGCTCCAAGCCCCTGTGTCCAACCTGGCCTTGAACACTGCCAGGGATGGGGCAGCCACAGCTTCTCTGGGCACCTCGGCACCCTCACAAGGAAGAGCTTCATCCTAATGAAGAAGGAGAAGGAAGGAGGGAAGGAAGGGGAACCTCTCCTCCTGGTTTGTGCCTGTTCTAAGCACCATCCCACAGCCCTCCCATCACTGTCTAGCACAAACAAGCAGAACAAAGCAGCAGCTCAGCTCAGCCTCAGCAGCCCACGGCCTGCTCACAAAGCGCCTTTCTTGGGCTGTGAGTGGCAGTGGCAGCTCTGGGATGCAGCACTGGGAGCAGGAGCCCAAAGGGTCCCGCTCTCCAGAGGGTCCCACCGAGCTTTGGGAATGGGGGAAGACAAACAAACCTCATAGTTCTACATCATTTGGGTGCTTGCACACTCAGAGGCAGCACAGCTCAGCCCCCTGGCCTCCCATTTGGGGCAATTATCTGCATTTCCACTTGCTTTCTGCTGTGGGGGTGGAAGTTTCTGCTTGTCAGCTCTGAGCTCCTGTTTGCTTTTAACCTTTGAGATCCCAGCTCGGCTCACAGTCACTCTGAGACTGCCTTGCAAGTGAAGCTGGAGCCTGAATTAAACCCGAGCTATAAGCATGGTGTCCTGCTGGTCCAGAATGGTTCCATCCTTTAGCAGCACACAGGGTGGGAGCTGCTCCCGGGGGTGATTTGGAGCCCGGGAGGTGGATGGGGAGGGACTTGGGTACCTCTCTGTCACTGAGGCTGCATCCTGCCCCTTCCCTTTCCAGACGTGCAGCCCCCCGAGGGGAAGAGCCGCGACTGCCTCCTGATGGTTGTGCAGCGGGACGGCTCCAAGACCACGCTGTGTGCAGAGAGCGAGGACGATGCTGTGTAAGCACTGAAACCCCTTCAGTGGCTTTGTCATCGGAGTCGGAGCCACAGCTTGGTTTGGGCTGCAGGGACATTAAAGTTCATCCAGTTTCAAGGACCCCTTCCACTGGAGCAGCTTGCTCCAAGCCCCTGTGTCCAACCTGGCCTTGAACACTGCCAGGGATGGGGCAGCCACAGCTTCTCTGGGCACCCTGTGCCAGCGCCCCAGCACCCTCACAGGGAAGAGCTTCTGCCTAAGAGCTCAGCTCAGTCTCCCCTCGGGCAGGTTCAAGCCATTCCCCTTGGCCTGGCCCTACAGGCCCTTGTCCCAAGCCCCTCTCCAGCTTTCCTGCAGCCCCTTCAGGCACTGGAGCTGCTCTCAGGTCTCCCCTTCACACAGCAGAGGGTCAGGATCCCCTCCCTGAGCTGCTGCTCACGCTCTGGGGGTGCACCCAGCACACGGGGGGGTTCTGGGCTCAAGCACACACTGAAGCCAGGTCATATCCAGTCTTTCATCCTCTCAATCCAAGCATGGAAAGGGCCCCATCCCAATCCCACCCCAGGGCTGAGTCCACACGAGCCCCTGTTCCTTTGCACATCCACATTCACTTACAGGACAACGGGCACAGACTGGGGGCTGTTGGGTTTCCCACTGAATAACTTAGAGCCACACTGGTTATTGTGAAGCCGTTGGTCTCCTGCAGGGTGGGTTTTCCTCATGGATGAGAAATCTGAGGAGCACTGGGGAGGGGTTTTCATTGGCATTTGGTGATAAACAGTGTGAATGTGATGTCCTAGTGGGCTGCAGGCTGTGCCCAGGAGGGGGAAAGAGCCGCTTTTAGCACCGTTCCCTTCTATTCCTGTCTATAAAGCTTCATTTCTATTCATTTCCATACAAATCAAGGGGTTTTGATAAAAAGAGATAAGAATTTATATATTAAAATACAGGAAATAAAGGCAGAAAACCTTCAGCTGAACTTAGATAGAGGGAGATGTTCAGCTGTGGCCAAGCTGAGCTTAATCAATTGAGCTTGATCCCAGTTGAATGGAAAATCATCCATTTCCCACTTTTCCCCTCAATTTAGGTGTCACATTCCCACTGCCCTTGTTCCAGGGAGAGCATTTAACCCTGTGCCCATCCCCGTGGTGTTGGGTAGCGGGGAGACCTCAGAGCAGCTCCCAGTGTCTGAAGGGGGCTACAAGGATGCTGGTGGGGGGACTCTTCATCAGGGACTGGAGGGATAGGACAAGGGGTGATGGGTTCAGACTGAAACAGGGGAAGTTTAGATTGGATTTAAGGAAGAAGCTCCTGGAAGTGGATGAGCTCTGAGGTCCTTTCCAGCCCAAACCCTGTTCTGATTCTAACCCAGGCCCCTCTGTTCCATTCACAGTGCCTGGAAGATGGCCGTGCTGGAGGCTAAATCCACCCCGGTGAGGCTCCATCCCGCACAGCAGCAGCCCCCATCCCAGCTTGGGCTCCGGGCAGGATGTGGGAGAAGGTCCCAACCGATCCCAGCATCCCCTCCCCGAGCCCCTGTGCCTGTGGGGTGTCCTCAGGGAATCCCGCAGAGCCAGCCAGGAAAAGCAGGCGGCAGCACTGGTGACCTCAGAGCCAGCACTGAGCAGAGGGTGACCCTGTGCAGTGCTCGGGGGTGGTGGGGCAGGGCCAAGGTGACAAATGGGGCGCAACTCAAGGGGACAGGGGCAGGGTTAAGGGGAACGGGGGCAAAGCTACAGGGAGAGCGGGCACAGAGGGGTGTGGGGACACAGAGTGCTGAGGGGACACAGCTGAGGTGACAGGGGAGGGGTAGGAGGATGGGGCAGAGCTACAGGGAATGGGAGCCGAGTTAAGGGAATGGGGGCACAGGCTCATGGGGACACAAGGGGACGGGGGGACACAGCGAAGGGGATGGGGACAGGATTTAAGGTGACAGGGGTAGGGTTAAGGGGAATGTGAGCAGAGTTTAGGTGTTGGGACACAGTTAGGGTGCCAGGGGCAGGGTTAAGGTGGCAGGGGCAGGGTTAAGGTGCCAGAGGCAGGGTTAAGGTACCAGAGGCAGGGTTAATGTGCCAGAGGCAGGGTTAAGGTGGCAGGGGCAGGGTTAAGGTGGCAGGGGCAGGGTTAAGGTACCAGAGGCAGGGTTAATGTGCCAGAGGCAGGGTTAATGTGCCAGGGGCAGGGTTAAGGTGGCAGGGGCAGGGTTAAGGTGCCAGGGGCAGGGTTAAGGTGGCAGGGGCAGGGTTAAGGTGCCAGGGGCAGGGTTAAGGTGCCAGAGGCAGGGTTAAGGTACCAGAGGCAGGGTTAATGTGCCAGAGGCAGGGTTAAGGTGCCAGGGGCAGGGTTAAGGTGCCAGGGGCAGGGTTAAGGTGCCAGAGGCAGGGTTGAGGTGGCAGGGGCAGGGTTAAGGTGCCAGGGGCAGGGCTAAGGGACCAGGGGCAGGGTTAAGGTGCCAGAGGCAGGGTTAAGGTGCCAGGGGCAGGGTTGAGGTGGCAGGGGCAGGGTTGAGGTGGCAGGGGCAGGGTTAAGGTGCCAGGGGCAGGGTTAAGGGACCAGGAGCAGGGTTAAGGTGCCAGGGGCAGGGTTAAGGGACCAGGGGTAGGGTTAAGGGACCAGGGGCAGGGTTAAGGTGCCAGGGGCAGGGTTGAGGTGCCAGGGGCAGGGTTGAGGTGGCAGGGGCAGGGTTAAGGTGGCAGGGGCAGGGTTAAGGTGCCAGGGGCAGGGTTAAGGTGCCAGGGGCAGGGTTGAGGTACCAGGGGCAGGGTTAAGGTGCCAGGGGCACACACAAGTGATTCAGGTGCCTGAGCCATTTCAGATGCTCCAGGGCCCCATTTCAAGACCCCCACCATACACGGAGGGGGGAAACTGAGGCAGTGACAGGGACAGATCCCCCCTCACCGCTCACCCCCGACCCCTGCTCCAGGTTCACGTCTATGACCCCTATGACGATGACTACTACCAGACGGTGCCCCTCGACTCCCACCAGGCCGCCTACATCAGCTCCGGCCACTACGGCCCCCAGCACGGAGGTGGGTGCCCCCGTCCCCATCCCACCACAGCCCCCCATGGACGCTTCATTTGGGGGTGGCCCAGAACGGGGCCTCCCACCCCAGTGGCACCGGATGGGGGGGGGGGGGGGGTCTGGGGGGTGATGGCCCCTCGGCACCCCCCATTCTCCCCCCTACTTTTGCCTTGCAGCTCCGGGGGTGACCCACGTCATCGTGCGCGAGGATCCCTACCGGGTCTCTGGGGACCAGATGGCCCTGGGGCTGCTGGCGGGGGCCGCCACCGGCGCTGCCCTCGGCTCCTTCATGTGGATGCCCTGCTGGTTCTAGCAGCCTCCTCCCGCAGGATGTGACCCCCAGCAGGTCCCTTTGGCACCTCCCCAGCCTGGCTGAACTCAGCCCTGCCTTGGTACCCACCTGAAGCAGCCTGCGCGGAACCCCTGACCTGCTGGGGACAGAGCTCCAGCCCCAGACCCATCCCATATCCCATTCCCGGCCCCAGACCCATCCCATATCCCATTCCCAGCCCCTGACCCATCCCATATCCCATTCCCAGCCCCTGACCCATCCCATTCCCAGCCCCTGACCCATCCCATATCCCATTCCCAGCCCCAACCACATCCCATATCCCGCTTCCAGCCCCAAACCTACCCCATATCCTGCACCCAGCCCCAAACCCATCCTATATCCCATTCCCAGCCCCAGACCCATCCCATATCCCATTCCCAGCCCCTGACCCATCCCATATCCCATTCCCGGCCCCAAACCCATCCCATATCCCATTCCCAGCCCCAAACCCATCCCATTCCCAGCCCCAAAGCCATCCCATATCCATTCCCAGCCCCAAACCCACCCCATATCCCATTCCCAGCCCCTGACCCATCCCATATCCCATTCCTGGCCCCAAACCCATCCCATATCCCATTCCCAGCCCCAACCACATCCCATATCCCATTCCCAGCCCCCCCCCAAACCCTCCCCATATCTCATTCCCGGCCCCAAACCCATCCCATATCCCATTCCCAACCCCAACCACATCCCATATCCCTCTCCCAGCCCCAAACCCATCCCGTATCTCACTTCCAGCCCCAACCCCAACCCACATCCTGCTCCCAGCTCCAGCTTGTGCATTAAACAACCCCCATGTGCTACAGAGACGCCCCAAACCCTACCACAGGACCCCACAGCACCCGATTCCCATTGCCAAGGGCACAGGGTCAGGAGGGCACGGGCTCAATTCCGCATCCCAAACCCCTGCAGGGAGCTGGAAATCCCGGGATTTGGAGCCGGGGGGGAGGTACCTGGGGAAGGGGATGAAGGTTCAGCAGCCCCATGGCACAGCAGGGAGCTGGGGCTGTGCTGGGGAGGGAGTGGGAATTGCCATGAAAGGGGCACCCCCAGGGCTGTTCCAGGTGGGAATTGCAGCTGAATCCTTGGGAATGGGGGTTAAACCCTTGGGAACAGGAGTTGAACCCTTGGGAACAGGAGTTGAACCCTTGGGAATTGGGGTTGAACCCTTGGGAATTAGGGCCAAACCCTTTGGAATGGGAGCTAAACCCTTGGGAATTGGGGTTAAACCCTTGGGAATTGGGGTTAAACCCTTGGGAATGGGAGTTGAACCCTTGGGAATTGGGGTTAAACCCTTGGGAATTGGGGTTAAACCCTTGGGAATGGGAGTTGAACCCTTGGGAATTGGGGTTAAACCCTTGGGAATTGGGGTTAAACCCTTGGGAATGGGAGTTGAACCCTTGGGAATTGGGGTTAAACCCTTGGGAACTGGGGTTGAACCCTTGGGAATGGGAGTTGAACCCTTGGGAATTGGGGTTGAACCCTTGGGAATGGGAGTTAAATCCTTGGGAATGGGGGTTGAACCCTTGGGAATTGGGGTTGAACCCTTGGGAACTGGGGTTGAACCCTTGGGAACTGGGGTTGAACCCTTGGGAATTGGGGTTGAACCCTTGGGAATAGGGGTTAAACCCTTGGGAATTGGGGTTAAACCCTTGGGAATGGGGGTTGAACCCTTGGGAATTGGGGTTAAACCCTTGGGAATTGGGGTTAAACCCTTGGGAATTGGGGTTGAACCCTTGGGAATTGGGGTTGAACCCTTGGGAATTGGGGTTAAACCCTTGGGAATGGGAGTTGAACCCTTGGGAATTGGGGTTGAACCCTTGGGAATTGGGGTTAAACCCTTGGGAATGGGGGTTGAACCCTTGGGAACTGGGGTTGAATCCTTGGGAAATAGGGCTAAACCCTTGGGAATGGGAGTTAAACCCCTGGGAATTGGGGTTGAACCCTTGGGAGCCGGGGTTGAACCCTTGGGAATGGGAGTTAAATCCTTGGGAATTAGGGTTGAACCTTTGGGAATGGGAGTTGAACCCCTGGGAACTGGGGCCAAACCCTTGGGAATTGGGGTTGAACCCTTGGGAATTGGGGTTGAACCCTTAGGAATTGGGACTATACCCCTGGGAATTAGGGCTAAACCTCTGGGAATTGGAGCTAAACCATTTGGAACTGGGACCAAACCCCTGGGAATTGGGGCTAAACCCTTGGGAACTGGAGCTAAGCCTATGGGGATGGGGGGTAAACCCTTAGGAATAGGGCTGGGAAGAGCCCATGGAATATGGGAGCTTCCCAAGCAGTCGCTGCAGGAGGGACAGGCAGCATCCTCTGTTCCATCCTGGTGTTTGGGAAGGGAAGGAATCCCTGGGGACAAGAGCAGTTTCCCTGAGAGCCTTCCCGGCAGCCAAGCCGGGATCAGGGATTTGGGATTGAGGGGGACACAGAGTCCCTCTGCGTGGCCTGAGGGGACAGGGATGTGCATTGGGAATCAATCAGTGCATTGGGAATCAGCGGATGGAGGGGGCAGAGGTGCCGCTGCCATCAGCACCTCAGAGGCAGGATTTTATCCCTCGATTCCAAACATCGGGAATTCCAATGAAACCCCAGGGCTGCATTGGAAACCCCAACGGTGACGGCAGCGCCCGGCCCGCTCTCCCTCCCCATCACAGCCCGGATGGGCTCATCCCAGCGCCTGGCGTGGGATCGGGGTATCCCAAACTCCATCCTCATCCTCATCCCCCCCCCTCCCGGCTGCAGCCCCGCTCCCCACAGCCCGGTTTGGAAAGGGAAAACCTGGAAAACCAAAGCTCTGCACATCAATAAAGGCAGCGGAAAAGGAGCCCTGGTCGGTGGGTGAAGGAGGACGGGAGGGGAGGCGCTTCCCAAGGGATCGCTGGGCTTGGTCCTGCTCCCCATTGGAGCTGTGAGGGCGTCCCCAGCTCCCCATCGCCTTCTCCTCCCTCGCTGTCCATGGGGAGCAGCTCCAGGGCAGGGATGAGCTCCTGGAAGCCTCAAAAGGGCCCTGATGGGATGGAGCAGGGACAAACCCCGGGTGCTGGAGAACCGGGATCCTGCACTGGCAGAGCGGCTCCTTCCCTTCCCATCCCACATCCAGACCCTGTGGATGAGCCGGCTCCGTTCGGGAAGGATGGCTCAAGAGCAGCCCCATCGCCTCCCCACTTCCCATCAGCTCCACCTGGACGTGTCCCTCAGGACCAGAGGACTCCTTGCAGGATGGTCCCAGCCCTGGTCCCAGTGGAGCAACAGCCGTTCCCTGTGTGTGGCTGGGGACGTGTGAGGGCATTGGGGTGGAGGGAGGGATGGAGGGAGGGATGGAGGGATGAAGGAAGGGATGGAGGAAGGGATGGAGGGAGGGATGAAGGGAGGAATGAAGGGAGGGATGGAGGGATGGATGGGAGGGATGGATGGGAGGGATGGATGGGAGGGATGAAGGGAGGGATGGAGGGAGGAAGGGATGGAGGAAGGGATGGATGGGAGGGATGGAGGGAGGGATGAAGGGAGGGATGGATGGGAGGGATGGATGGGAGGGATGGATGGGAGGGATGGATGGGAGGGGTGGAGGGAGGAAGGGATGGAGGGAGGGAGGAAGGGATGGAGGGAGGGAGGAAGGGAGGGATGGATGGATGGAGGGAGGGATGGAGGGATGGATGGGAGGGATGGATGGGAGGGATGGATGGGAGGGATGGATGGGAGGGGTGGATGGGAGGGGTGGAGGGAGGAAGGGATGGAGGGATGGAGGAAGGGATGGATGGGAGGGATGGATGGAGGGAGGATGAAGGGAGGGATGGATGGGAGGGATGGATGGGAAGGATGGAGGAGGAAGGGATGGAGGGAGGAAGGGATGGAGGGAGGGATGGAGGGTTGGGATTTATCCAAGGTTTTCCATACGGTTTCCTACAGCCTCATCCTAGAGACACGGATGTGTCATGGCCTTGACGAGTGGTCCATGGTCGGGGGGGGGGGGGGGGAATTGGCCAATCAGCAGCTCCCTGACTGGGACCTGGCACTGCTGGGGTGCCCCAGGGCCCGACCCTGTTCAAGGTCTTCCATGAGTGAGCTGGGTGATGGGATCAAGCATTCCCTGATGGAGTTCACCAATGGCACCAAACCAAGAGGGGACGTGCTCAGGACACAGGGGCTTGGAGCAAGCTGCTCCGGTGGAAGGTCTTTGGAACTGGAGGAGCTTTAAGCTCCCTTCATCCCAACCCATTCCACGATTCTATGGGCTGTGAAAAGCTGGAGTTTTCCCTGGACAAGCCCATCTCCGGCACCCGGCCAGGAGCCACCAGCAGCGTTCCCCACGCGCGGTGCCAGTCCCAAGGGGGAGATGGAAACACCTGGAATCGTTTACCTGGATGCTGTGCTGCTCCCATGCCACGTCCAGCCGCTGGCCCGCAGGAGCCCCATTCCCCCCCTGCTCCCCATCCCTGCGGTACCTGCACATCCCAGGGCTGATCCCGCTTCTCTCCCACCGGTCTCTTGAGGACCCAGGGCCTCCAAGTGATGGGGGTAAGGGCAGGAGGAGGGCCTGTCCCACGCTGTCCTCGCTGTGGGTGGCAGCCAGACCCTGCCTTCACTGTGATGAAGCCAAATGAAGCAGCGATAACACATTCAAACCAACCCGGGGGGCACAGAAACCAGCACCCCCCAAAGCACCCGGCTCGGGTTCTGCCCCACTCAAGGCTTCACCCAATGGAGAAGGCTTCCCGGCAGCTCCCGGTGCCGATGGGAACGATGCTGAGCAGGAGCGGAGCAATGGGATGAGCCAGGAGACAGCAACGAGGGTGGAGCTGCTCCATTCCCACCTCAACAGAGACCCGACAGGACCCTCCTCTCCCAGCGCTGGAGGCCCAAATCCCAGGACAATTCCAACCCAAGGAATAACGCGGTGGGATCTGCCTTAAGGAGAGGGCCCAAGCGGTTACGGCCGAACAGCCCCACAAACAGCCCTAGGGCACCAACCCTCGTGTGTCAGAGCGAAGGAAGCAGCTGGAGCGGCCGGAATCCCGCTCCGATCAAAGCCCGCTCGCCTGGAAGTGAAGCATCACAGGCCATGGAGCGCCAGAAAAGTCGGGATCAAGCCTTGACCTTCCTCCCATCCCCTCTTCCCGAGGCCGGGTGAACATGGAAAAGGTCAGCGCTGGGAGCATCCATCCACAGCACCTCCTGCCTCCTGCACCCCGGCT